GGACGTGTAGTATAGCGTAATGTCGGGCCGGACGGTATACGGCGTTAATGATGTGTCGGATGTCATCCTTAGACTGCCGGCCCTCCTGGGCGTCGCGCCAGTAGTCTATGAAGCGATCACGCGATCGGTCGTCCCTTTCCATCCACGAGCGCCTGTATTTGGCGCAGTATATGGAGTCGAGTTCAGCCCAGGGTTGGAGGCGATGGAGCTTTTGGTTGCACTCCTGGAGTAGGCTGTGCTCGGAGTCAGCTATTAGTTTTAAAAATTGTTTTAATTAAATATTGCTATGACTTCAATAAAATAAAATGTAAAAAATAATTTAAAAATATATATATAGTTAGTAGAGGTTCCCAATGAAATACTAAATACTATTATTTGTGTATAAAATTGTATTTTCATATATTTTGTTACAGTTGATACAATAAAGTGAGATATACTACAAAACTACTGTGTTATACATTACCGCAAATAAACTCCAGTTTTATGGCGTAATCCCTGTTCTCCAGTCGATGTCTACCCTTAACTACAACACCGAATATACCGCACCCTATGGTCCGCTCACTCAACGCAAACTCCTTATCCAAACAACTGCCCCATAGGTAGGACTCGATGTTTGCGAGGGGAACAGTAGCTTTTAGGTCCAGGTCAGTTACTTTATGAAATTAATTGAAATAACTATAGTAGTTACAAAGTACCATTTAATCAAATAAATACCTGCTTGCTGACCTCCCTGGTCATCAACTGAAGTAGGTGATGCTTCATCAAAAATGCCCTCTCTCAATTTTTGTTTTTTAATTTTAGCAAGCACAATCATTTCGTCCTCGTATTGTTTGAATTTACGTTGCAATACACTGTATATTGGTCGCGATTGATCCAGGTCAATATATCGTGCGATGTGTTTCCAGGTGTAATGTTGGAAAAATTCGTTGAAACTTAATCGCCATTTAGCTTGCTCATTTATTATGTCCTGACACGAGGGTCGTCGAGTGTAGTGTAGTTTGTATTGCATTTTGTTAATCATGTTTAATAAGTGTTGAGTTTTATCGGCGATTAATTGTACTTTCTTATATCGATCGTGTTTTCTGTAAAAATTGATTTTCAAACAATTTAGTCTTTAATAATAGAAATCCAGTTGTAATTATAAATTGAAAAATAGTGATAAACAAAAAAAGTCACATTTGATGATTCATAAATATTTAAAATTAAAACATGTAGTGGTTATATAAATATTTTTCAATTCATTTACAGCTTAAATTAATTGTATCATTAATATTAAATAATGTTTTACTAAGATAATTTATATTAATTAAAAAAATGTTAACGTTTAATTATGGGAAGATTTGTTAATCAAAAATGAAAACAATTTAGTTTTTAAAATTTGAAAGTTAATAGGAAATAAAATGTAAGTTGCTATTATTTTTGGCCAACTGCACTTAATTTTGAATAATATTATTTTATTAATTACAGTTTTATTTAGTGTACTTATAAATGAGTAATATTGAAGTTTTAATTGCAATCCATAATAAATTATTAAAATTTTATTATATTGTTTTATGTTATTTAACCAATAATTTAAAATATTAGATACCGTAAATTTCTCTTTTTACCCCATTTAGTAACTATTAAACATAAGGTTTAATTAATCATAAAATAAAACCATTTTTACAATTTTATTTAAAATTTAAATATATTATGTAATTCATTAATTATGTTTATGAGAAAACAATTCCTGGTTATAAAATAGGTATTAAGCAATTTATGACTTACATAAGTTCCTTGATGAAATACAATTGTTCGCAAATAACCCCAAAACTATAAACATCCGATTCGCAACGATTAATGAGTCCTTGCTCAATTTCTAATGCTCTATAAATAAAATTGCTAGACTTATTTGTAGGTGATTTTTTATCAGTCCAATCCAATTTAGTCAATTCAAAACCGCTTAACTTAAATCCAAAATCACCAGTGTTACTTGTATAAAACAATATATTATGTGGACTTAAATAGCCATGCACAATTTGTGGTTTATGCTGGTGTAGGTAATTAAGTGCATTTATGATATCCATAAATATTTCACATGATATGTAATATTTGATGCAAAACTTATGCTGGTAATTGCTATTATAATCCTCAATATTTGCCATGTGTTTCATAATATAAGTTAAATTTGTGTCACAATTTTCCATTTGAATAAATATACAATTTGCTGATAACCAAGGTTTATGATATTTTATTAACCCATCGTGGGTAATTTGTAATACAGTATTAATTTTCTCTATAAATTCCTTTTCATCAAGGATATCTTTAAAATTAAATCAAATGTAAATAACTAAAATGATAATTTAATGTTAAAATATTCTAATGCAATTTTTATCTAGGTTAATTTATTGTAAACCTATCCAGACATATAGAATGATAATTAAAGTTTATGCTAATATAATAATTTAAAGTTAAATAAAATATTTAAAAATTTATTTCTGATATTTATATAAAACTGTAATTATAAATAAATTCATTAAATGTGACATTACTTCATATTAGTAAATTTTAATTTGTATCGCCATTAGCTTATAATTTTGTTTACAGCTTGGTAATTTTTTAATATTTAGAAATAAAAATCTAAATTCATATTCTATTTACTATTAACCTAAAATCTAGATAGTAATTATTTTTAAAAACTTACCCCATATCTTGTACTTTTTAATCAAGTAACATTTATTATCGATCTTCACGCGGTGAATTTCAGTACCAAAGTCTCCTAAAAAAAGCACCTGGATATCAGTGAATTTGCGACTAATATCTTCATTTATTTCTCCTTGATCATTTTTGAAATTTTGTGTGGTTTTAATATAGCATTTCGTAATAGACTTATGCGTAATTCCATATTTGCTATAATAAAAATCGTATAACCTTGTATATTTTGTCTTGATAAATTTATTTTTGCCAATATCTAGTTCATAAACAAATTTGTCCATGGATTTAGCTACAGTAATATATTTGCCATAAACATGTTGAATTGTGTGTATTTTAATAAATTGTTCAGTATTCCTAACCGTATGCAAATAATTACTATCTAGTTCATTTGATCCATAGTAAACAATTTTACCATGAGCAGTTAAAAAGTATGTGCTATATTCAATGCATACAACACTTTTAACAGGGCTACTTAATGGTAATTTTATTTTGATTGGATGATTTTGAATTTTATTTTTTGTATGACCCAATTGACCATGGTGGTTAGCACCCCAACCATACATAACTCCATCCCATGTTACGGCTATGGAGTGATTACTACCGGCTATTATTAGTTTAAATTGAACTGGCTTATCGGCAAATAATTGAATAGGCTTGCTAACAAAACTTTTCTCAACACCAATTCCCAGTTGACCCAGTTTATTATCACCCCATGTATAAACATGGCCATTTGTGGACAGGGCTATGGTATGATTCCACCCACACGTTACATTGGTGAATTTGGTATTTCCAGCTATGTTAATTCTGGTGGGTAATTGTGATGTATGTGTGTTAGATTGACCTGTACCACATTGACCACTCACATTACTGCCCCATGTGTATAAGTCACCATGCTCAGTGATTCCTACCACGTGCGACATACCTGTATAACATTTGCAAGTAATCATTTTATTATATTGATTTGTGATAATTAAAAATAGTATTATGCTTAATACAGTATTTCGTGATATTATTTTTAATTAAATAATTTATCATAAACCAAATTTTAAAATTATTTTTGATTGAATTGAATTAAATAAAAACTTATAGTCAAACTGTAAATTAATTGATCAAGACTATTTTAAATAAATCACCAACAGATTTTAGAAATAGTGGTTAAAAAATGACGAGATTTATTTTTAATTTTTACAAATTCATGTTAGTAATTTTAAAACTATATAAAATATATTCATTAGATGTCGCTACATTTTAAATATCTAATATTTAAATAGATTTCTTTTATTAACTAGTAACCATGGTACAATTGTATTGATTACAAACCATTGTGAAGTTGGCATATATTGCGAGAGCAAAGGGCGTCTACACGTGTTGGTTGTCCCACATTCCTGTTGTGATTAAAACCCAGACTACCGGTGCTGTTGGCGCCCATAGCATACACATCACCATTGCTGACAATGTATAGAAAATTTTTTCCCTTATAGTCGTCGAAAACATGATANAACCCAGACTACCGGTGCTGTTGGCGCCCATAGCATACACATCACCATTGCTGACAATGTATAGAAAATTTTTTCCCTTATAGTCGTCGAAAACATGATATAATATAATGTTATTGTAGTCTATATTTCGGGCAAAATAGCCCGTTAATTGTCGTAAATTAACAGTCATTTTACACAATTAATTATTTAATCATTGTTAAATATGTTTCAAATAAAATCACATTTTTATATGAAATTAATTATGATATATTATTGTTTGACTAACTTTTATTTGTTTTATGACACTATCTCTCTGTAATAACTTTGAAAACATTTACTAATATTTATTACACTATTTCTCTGAACACTTATCAACACAAATATGTCTAAATTTTATAAGCAGTATATAAGTACTGATAAAAATATACGGTATTACAACTTAAATGTCATTTAACAGTATATTATACAAAATATTTTGTTAAGGGAAAATAAAATAACAACATGCAATTATATATAAAATTGACTGTTTTGCTGTAAATGCAATTTACTTTCTAACTATAAATTAACAATAATAAACAATTAAAGTATTTTTAAAACTGGAGAAGAAAATTCTAAAAAATTAAATTTTAAATGATTAAATATAATATATACACTATATCAAATTATATATCGCTTTCTAAATACATTATGTAAATTAATCTTTTAATTTAAAAATGTATAATTTTACAATGGTCATTAATTAAGTGGGATAAATACAGTGTAAACCTACGATGCGCACACATTGTAATATGGGCCCATTAACAGTGACAAAACAGTGAATATTATAAGATTAGTCAGTATAGAGATTAATGTTAAAATGTATATATTTTTGTCAATTATAGTGTGGCCCAGAGTGGCTCAAGTGTGCATCGTAGGTGTAAACCAATGATTATTAAAATGCAATTCCGGGCAACACTAGTACGTATTTCATATTTTAAAAGTATTAATCTCACTACCGGTTAATGTTATAATGTTCAGTTTTGTCACTACTAGTGTAGCCCGGATTAGCATTTGGATAATCCTAGGTGTAAACAGTTCAAATTAGTCTTGTAATTTATAAATTATTAAGTGTTTACTAATATATAACTAAATCTTAATAATATATAACGAACTGAAATATAATTCACTAATCTATATAATTAATTTTATTTGCTTATTAATTTGGAAACTATAGATTTCTTAAATATGTTAAAATATCTAAAATTACATACATTATAATTAAAATGAGAAATTTATATTGTAAAAATATAGTTTTGTTGATTTTATGTTAAATGCTAAAATCATTTTCATTAAATTGATAATTTCTAATGATATAATCACATTAGAGTTTAAGTGGTATTTATATTTATGGTATATTTCATTATAAGAAATGAATGCAAAGATTATATTATTTAGTGAATATAAATTTTCTCAAATTGTTAATTAATAATTTAATAATGTAACAAATGATATAATTAAATATGTAATATATTATACATTTTTAATTTTTTAAAAGTGTCATAAATTAAGAATTATTTACATAGTTTAAAGTAATTTATAATTATATTTTTTAAAATTTTCATATTTGAGTTGCTATAAATCACACGCAGTATTTCATAAAATATTATATTGTGATAGTTAATTGTTTATCTAATTCAAAAAATATATTATTATTAAATAGATACTATGTCGATCTATGAAAATCGCTTAATAAAGCATTTCGACAATGATATATTTATCGATAGTGGGTCATTTGGCTCTGTATTTAAAGCCAAACATAAATATATTGGTAAATATTATGCAATTAAAAAGGTGACTATAAAGAATGAAG